AATGGGTCTTCAGCCTTCGGCGCATGCTTCTTCGTCTCATGAAAGGCTGCGAAGTAGAAACCTTCAGCTGTCAAACGAAATCCTCTGCATCTGGCGCCTAGTTGCAACTCCACATGTGGCTTGGCATGTCCACCTGTATGTTTCTTTGGCTTATCTTCGTTGAGGGGCCACGGTCACATGAGCCGGCTGAAAGAAATCTGTGGGGTTCAGCAAATGCCCTTCCTCTGCATCGCCCGGCGCATGCCACTTGCACGTGTCTTTTTGGATGTAAGCCCGGCACACGAGTGCGCAGTGTGCTTGGCGACGGTGGCGCCCAAGCCAGCATACCTGAAGCGACACATGAAGCAATTGCTCGATCCATTTTGCATCAAGAGTTATGCGCACGGCTTTCTCTGTCAACTTCACCGAATGCTTCGAACGCGCCGCGAATTTTGAGCCGGGCTCACAGGGAGGAGACGCCGCCAGATCTGACCATGGCCTGATGCGACGCTCGACGCTTCAAGCTTCTGAGCTGGGATCCTTGCCGCGGCAAACTCGGCCATGCCAGTCGCAGATGCCGCCTGAAGTCGCAGATCCCGCCTTCATGCAGCCTCTTTTCGCCTCTCTTCTCCGCTTGACCATGCCACCATGCCACGGCCGCGCCTTCTCGCTCTGCATGGCAATCTTCACGCACTCCAAGGGCGTGATGATGCAGGCCTCGACTGCTCTGCCGTGGCGGACGAGCTCTCGATCGACCCGCCTCAGCGGCCCCGGCCATGCCGCCGGCCACCAAGCTGTGCTGGAACGGCGCCTGCCCCGCTTCCCCATGCCACATGGAAGCCGGTCAGAGCAAGCTCCGGCCTTCTGCTTGCCGGTCCAAAGCATGGAAATGAAGGCGTCGTAGAAGACCTGAATGGAAGGCATGGAGCTCCATCCGCGTCCTTCCGCATGCTCGGCCGCCTGCAAACTTGAAGCCTCTGCGAGGTATGACCTCACTTGAAACGGCAAGCCCAATCTGAATCCACACTGAGGCTCGCTCTACGCAAAGACCAGGCACAAAGCCTCGCCAAAGGCCTGCCAAGCCTAGGCGCGAGTTGGACTCCATTTGCATTCTTGATGATATTGACATATTGTGAAAAACTCACCTTCCATCGCATCATTCCATTGATGCCATCTTTGCCCGCCTTCACTTTGTCTGATCCCGCGAATCGCGGCCGCCGTGCCCTGGCGCGGAGAGAATTTGCCGCCAAAAATCGTCGCTGTGAAGGGCAGCCTGGAAGTTGTCGCCGGTCTTGATACCGGTTCCCTGAGACGCAATCGCAATAAACACACATCTCGAGTCGCTGAACCAGTGCCTGGAGGTGCATGCGAGTCTTTACGACGTCCAGCGGCTGCATAACGATGAGCTGCGCATGTCGCGGCATCATACAGCAAGTGGAGCACAGTCACTGCACGTGCAGTGGAAACAACTCGTGTCCCGTTGTGTTAAGATGAAGCATGGAACCTCTGTTGTCGCCGCCACAGCAGCAGCGGCAAAGCTGGCATAGGCCGGCCTGGAGCGTTGGCGCAGAGCACGCGAATCGCGGGATCCCATCACGCGCGCCTTTTGGCTTCCGCCATGGATCCGCGCCGAGCCGAGCTCCGTTAAATATGCTTCAGCATGTGGATCTGCGATCGCATGCCTTTGGCATGTCCCGTGCTGAATGCTCTGCCGCCATGCCGTGCACTGGAACCGACTTGGCCAACCTTGAGACTGACGCGGCAAGCAGCTCAAGGGCTCGCCCAGCTGCAACAGCGTCCCAATTGGATTCAGCTAGTCTCGCCAGCTGGCAATTTTCTCGCAGGAGAGCAGGGTCTGGATGTCATGGAGTCATGAACATAGCCCCGAAGAGGTTCTTTGACCCAGGCACCTTGCTCTTGGCATTAACTCAACGGACCCCGGGATCCCCGGGCCTTGCACAAGCACCGGCATCCTCCCCAAGCAGCTTGCAGCTTGCAGCGTGCGGCTTGCTTCGTGCCGCATGGCTGCGGGACGTCGGTGACTGGAGCGGCGATCAGGCAGCCACGGCTCGCCGCTTGGGCGGCACTTCCTAGAGTCAAGAGCCAAGAGCCAAGCGCTTGGCAGCAACGAAACGGGCGGGAAAAAAGGAGGAGACACAAAAGCAAAGAAGGATGCGCGGTCCTGGTCCTTTCGCGCAAAGAAGTCCGTGATGCGCTTGGCGCCCAGGTGAGGCCTTGGCTCAATGGTCAACGGCCACCGGGCCCCCCGCGAGGCGCGGCAACAGGCGCTCCCAAGGCCCCGGCTGGCAGCGCTGCGTGGCGGCGCTGCGCGCCACGGGCGCCGGCTTGGGAACTGGGCGGGCGCGTGCCGTGCACTTCTCGCGCCCGTGCCGGCGAGAGCTCAGGCCCAAGCCGTTGCGCAGGAAGATGGAAACGGCGACGTGGTCAGAAAGTTGCTGGGGCCTCGGAGCTCGCAAGCTCTCATACGTATGTCAAAGAGTTCACGAATCACTGAGTGATGATACGTGTAGACAATTCCAGTAGAAGGTCCCTGCGCAACCCGGACCCCCACTCTCAGAGGGAAAGCTATGGCCCAGCTGTGCCTCTTTGTCTGCTCGGAACTGTGCAAAGTACTCGTCCTCCACGCGCATTTCTCCAGCACTTCTGGCCATTTCAAAGAATTCGGAGAGTCCTCCTCCATCGCTGGCCTTGCAACGACTCGCTCCAATGATCGTGTGATCCAAGGCCGTCCAACGTCGGCACACGCCAAGCGCCCAATCGCCTTTTCTCACGGATAGCCGGTGACACAAACAAAACGGGGGCTACGAGAGCTGAATGGAGCCAGCTATCTCCATCTCTCGACTCCAGCTCCCGCTGCAAGTCAGACGTCTGACAACTTGAGAAGAGAAGCTGAGTATCACATGGCTGTGGATCAAAAATAGGTACCCAAATGGAACCCTTGTGAATGGAAACAAGCACTAAAATCTGTGGTTCCCTGGTGTAATTTTGACCCATATCCACATGTTGCACATTGGACTCAGACATCAGGACTTGCGGATCACTCCACGTTTGGATGGCTCAAGCGCCACTGAAGAACAGTCTGGGCCAGGCCTTGCGTGAGACGCATCGTGCCCGAGCCGAAGACCGCGGATTGAAACGCCAGCACCAGCTTCGCAAGCTGCCGGCCAGACATTCCTTCAGTGCGTTTCGCCACGTCCTGCCGTCTGGGAATACGGGAATCTGTGGAAGGATGAACGGGCTATGCAAATACTTGCATGGAATACACCTCATTTCTCTTGTGTTTCCAGCAAGCTCCTCGGAAACATCCAACATCAATGTATGTTGAATGACAAGGAAGGTTTCACAAGCTACCATTCTCACAAACCATCGCAGGTAAGCCCGCGAAACTGGAAGAAAGGCAGCGCGCCGTCCTCCAAAAATTTGTCATCCAGTTCGGGGTCCACTTCGATCATGGCGCGATTGCCCTTCTTGCGGTGAAGATACTGGTCCGCAAACATCTGCAGCATCTGCAAGCGTTGCGGGTAAGCGGGCCTGCCGGGGCAGACATGACATGAGCTCAGAACCATGGCGGAACATGCCAAAGCTGTCACGTGCCTGGGAAATTCAAAGCCTTCGTCGATGCGATCAAGCACAGCTCTATCCAGAACGGTCGGAACGTTGGTCGCCAGGATCACGGCGATGTGCGCGTTCTCCGTGCCCGTGTGGTGCAGGAACACCGAGAGCGAGTTCCGAGCGTCCTCGCTCATGGCCCCGGCGCGGCCGCGCCGGAGGAAGGCGTCCGCCTCGTCGATGAAGAGCACCAAGCCCTTCCGCGACTTCTGCGCCCACTCGAAGAGCTTGTGCAGCTCGTGCGGGCCTTCGCGGCCCAGCGGCCCCAGGTCCCCGCCCGACATGACGGCGTAGTCCAGGCCGGACTCCCGCGCCAAGGTGCGCGCGAACAGCGTCTTGCCGGTGCCGGGGGGCCCGTGCAAAAGCAAATGTCGGAAGGGCGTGCCGTTCTGCTGCGCGCTGAGAAGCGCATTGGTGGACCAACGCAGCCGCTCCGCAAGGTTCTCCTCTAGGACAATGCGAGCAAACAGATTGGTCGTATGCTGCGGGAACAAAGAAAGCTGCGGTCTCCAGGACCATCTGGAGGTTTCCCGCACCAAGGGAGGCCTGCTGAAGTGGCGCTCCATGACTCTGGCGGCAACCCGCGTGGCTGCCCGAGCGCTGTAGATGCCTGCCAATCTTTCGGAGGGAGCCCGTGTCGTCCAAACGAAGCCATCCAAAAAGGGGAAAAATCAAGAGTCAAAACGAAGACGAGAGAACTCCGAAAGCCAAGGCTCCCCCCGCCAGCAAGGTCAGGCCCCCCACGAGGCTCACCGCCTTGGCCCGATCCTCGTAGAGCGCTTCCGCTCCAGCGGACATGCCTCGTGCGTACGAAAAAGCGAACGTGAGAACGGGGACGGTCGGACCAAGCGGACGGCCGGGGTTTGGTTTCATGTTCGCGACATGACGTGGCTCATGTCCCAGCCGCTGGAGAAGAACGTGTTGATGGAGTCCAGCGCCGTCTTCCGAGCCTCTGCCTGCTGTGCCCGGTACTCCCGCAGCCGCACATCCACATTCTCGCGCTCCTGTGAGGACCCCCTCCCCAACCCCAACCACTTTCAGTTGGAAATCCTAGCCCAGAAAGTACCTGTTGATGATCTCGCTGCAAATCAAACATTCCGGAGATCCGATGCTGCGCAGAATTGGATCGGCTCCAATTCGTTTGCATCTTTGCTTCAAACGGCACGAGGCCGGCTCAGAGCACAGGATCGGGCCCTCCTGCTGCGCACGGCCAGCAGCCTCCGCGTGGGCAGCGGCCTGGAGATGAGAACTCGGAGCCCAAACTGAGTGGCTTCCCTTTGGAGTTTCCCTTCAAGAACCACCCGAACAGAGGGACACCTCAACATACATATATATATATATATATATATATATTACACATGATATATTATTTTTAGCATTCCAAAGCAAGAAGAAGGCTGGAGCCGGGAATTCTTCGGCCAATAAAAAATAAGGACGGCCCGGGCCTTGGCGGTCTCGATGTCCTGGGCCCCACGGGCCCGGATCGTCTCCCTCACCTCCTCCTCCAGCTGCTTCTCGTTGCGGATGCGCATGGCCTCGGCTCCGAGTCTCTCCGAGTCTCCCGACGTCACGACGTCACTCCGACGCGGGCGTGGGGCGCAGGGCGCAGGGCGAGCCCGGCCTCGTGCTGCATGAACTGCTCCTGCTCCCGCCTCAGCTGATACTCCGTCACCTCCTGGCGCTCGGCGTTTGCAAGCACCGGGCACTCGCCGCGTCCCCGCGCCTTTTGCAGCTCCAGCTTGCGGCCTGACGTCGTATTTTCAGGAGAGAGAAGAGAGAAGAGAAGACCAGACTCAGAGAGGACTGGAAGAATTTAATAAAACTGGAAAAGATGCCATGTGTTTTTCTTTTTTTTCCAGCTGGCCTTGGAGGCTGTTCTCCACCTCCGCCTTGTGCTGGGCCGTAAGTCTCTCCTGCTCCGCCAGGTAGGAGATGGTCTTGCGGGCCTCCTCCGCCTGAGCCGCCACGATCTGCTCCTGGAGGCCCCGATTCCGGGCATTGGCTTCTCGGACTCTTAAGAGTTGAGACCTCATGGGTCCAAAAGGAAGCAAGCCCCTATATACATACGACATCCACCAAAGGGCTCTTGGAAATTTCGGGTTGGGACTTGCGCTCGGTGGTTCGGGCACCGAAAACCCCCCCAAAAAAAAGAGCTCCTCCATCTGGGCCCGCATGGTCTTCTGCTTCTCCATCTCCGAGAGCGCCCGAAGCTGGGAGGTCCGCTCCTCGAGCCCCGAGAAAACCCCCGCGCCCCGAGGCGCTCCGAAGCCTCCGCGGAGGCAATGTCGAAGGCCAGCTTCGCGTGCCTGAAGAACTCGAATCCAAAATCGGTCTCCCACGAACTAGTCCCACTGCTCCCAGGCTTTTCAGGCTTCTCCGGTTTCTCGACTTTCTCGGCTTTTCTCGGCTTTTCTCGGCTTTCTCCTGGAGGCATCGATCTCCTTCAACGCAGCCGCTCCCTGAGCCAGATACGAAAGTGCGTAAGTGCGTATTGTCCGGGCTCGCTCTGAAAAAGTCCGGGCCCGCGGCCTTCTCCAGTTGCTCGGGGTCAAACTTGCCTTCCGCCTGACCCGAACCAACTCTTTTCGACTCGAGAGATTCCTTGCGGATCTCTCAGCCCTGCGCAACATCCTTGGAGCTCGGGCGCGGAAGCATGGCGGAACTTCGAACAAAGCAGCCGAAGCCGCTTGGTCTGCCCGTACCAAAGGGATGAGGCTGACTTCTGATAGCTGTCTACATGGTCTAAACCCTTAATGCTCAGCATCTGTGCGTGTTGCATCGTGCTGCAGTGCCTTGGCTCGCTTACCGTCTGCATTTGTTGCATCTTGCACAAAACTCGGCTCTGAGCCAAATAACTAAGTGCCACGTGTGATATTGAGTGTTCACTGTTCGAGGAAAAAAAAGGAAAAAACACCATGTTCTGGGTCCCCTTATTCGTTACACAGGAGGACCGCAGCAGTGGTGTCGTTCAATGAGTTTTGGCTAGTGAGTGATACAAGGCATCACTGCAGTCCTTTTTGTTTGTTGATAATAAGTGAATGGTGGATGCGCAACATTGGCCATTGCACGGCAAAGCTTGCGCTGCAGTCACAGTATTTGTTCGTGGGGGGGTGGAGTTTCTGAGGTTGCCTGCACCCTCGTTTGAATAATCAACACTTTCTACTCTAATATTGGTGTGAAGCTGCCAGCTATGCCGCCCATGAAGTGCGCGGTCTGCATTCTGCAATCACATGAAAAGCACGATCTGCATGAGTCCATGTGCATGGCAGAACACACAGAAGCAATCCTGTGGGCAAATCAAGGTGCCACAAGCCCAGAGCACATGATGCCATCCAAATCCTATGCGCTCGACCTGCTTGCCTCTAGTCCACACCATTGAAAACTCATGGCCCCTGTCAGTGCGTCGACTGTTGCCATGGGCTGTTGCGCTGTTGCTAATCATGGGCTGGCGACGTTAGCCAATAGTGTCGCTTCACAATGTCTTCCATGCGACCCACCAAGGCTTAGGAGCGCGCATGCCGCCGCCCACAAAGGGCGAGGGCTGGGAGAGGCCCCCGTACCTGCGGCACGCACCTGTCACAACCCACACGGCACGCCCACTCCGGACCGCCCGAGCGTCCCAGGCGTCCGCCGAGCGGCGCATGCGGCGCATGCGTCCGTGCGGCGCACGTGGCCGCGGCCAGCGCAGCTCCGGGCGACTCGGGCGCCAGGCCCCGGGAGTCCAGCCCTGCGCCCTTGGCGGCGTGGCGTTCGAAGAAGGCCCGGTCCTGGGAAAACCGAAAAGGATTTCACGCCTCCTGTTTCTCCTTTCTCGTGTTTTTTTTTAAAAATTTTTGTCTTCTTTGGAAAAAGATGGGCGGCTGGCGACAAGGACGTAGTCGATGCGAGAGCCCTCGTTCTCATGGCGCCGGTTCCGATATTGGTCCCAACCTTGGGCCAGGGCGCAGGGCTTCAGGGCCGAAACCTTCCGCTCGGCGCCGGGCAGGTGAAGCGTTCCTGAGCCTCCGGGTAGAACTCCGCAAAGGAGTCCACCATGCCATCGCTCAGAACTCCCTTGCAAGCTCCGCCGGGCACACTTCATCGCAGTCAGATTGGCTGGCACACACACACACACAAACTCACGCACACGCACACAGCAATGCACAGATACACACAGCGGTCCTCCAACCACGACCTGCAGAAACAAAAACTGGCGGTGCGCTGCCTGCTTGGTGGAGTTGTAAATGGCAAACATCCATGACACGCGTTTTGCCACGACAACTTACTTGTTGTAGCGGGCGGAACACAAAATTCTCGCCCGCATATGGTTAGCATCTTTACACATGCATCGGACGAGTGTGCAGGTGAGCGTGTTGCAGAAGCAGCCACCACCAACTCGGGAAACTTAAATATGCGTTGGCAAGTTTGGCATTGCAAGCACCGTTGGTGGACGAGGCGAGAGTGTTGGCGCCGGCGCCAGACCTGGCAGCGCCTCGAGCGGGGACTATCTTCATCTCACAAAAAGCTAGGCGGCCCATAGGAAGATATGCGAGTCAGCGCTAAATTCACTTGTCTGGGGTGTATTCATTCCGACGTTAGGACGTCCCGTATCGTTGTTCCAGTTTTTCTCAAATTTTGAGGGTATCGTTTTTGGACGTCCTGTCTCGTCTGTTGAGCAAAAACCCAAGGCAACATGTGCGTGAAACACTCCTACACAAAGTAAATGACGATGATTTTGAAGCCGACTCAATACGCTGATAGACAGCAGCGGGCGTCTCAGCGGCTGTCAGGCTGGCGCCAAGCTGGAGATGTCCCGGGACTGCGGCTGGCGCTATAGCCGCGGTCGCAGCAGGCGCTAGGTAGACGGACAGCAAGCCCGGCGCGTAGCTGTCCGACGCTTGCGCAAGACACGAGCACAAGCCGAAAGGATGCAAAGGAAGCACATGCCGCCCATGCGGAAAACCTCCGCCCAGAGCGCCTGCCACGCCCCAGGCCAGCGACGCAGGTCTACGGTGATCACCGCTGACAAGATGGGATTTGGATCACAGCCCATTGACAGCACGAGTCCAACAGCTGCGTGCTCAGCGTCCACACAAAACCAGTCACGAAGACGAGGGCAGGAAGACAACTCCAAAAAATGGCCACACAAACGGAACACAGAGACAACATGCTGAGTCACTAAACGTGAGCCGAAATGAGGGCGGTATGTGGTTATCCCCCCAAAACGCCACCCCCCAGACCCCCCCTGACAACAGTGTAGTGTAGCAAAGGTGCACAATTACATGAATGCGGCGGAAAGGCGTGATTTATGCAAGCTGGCTCGAAGTGTAGTTCACAAGGTACACTTTGGCAGCTCCAGTTCGAATACCCCGCAGACACACACACACACACACACATACACACACACACCAATATACATGAAACAAAAGGTATCGCTTTTGGTAGTTCATTCTAGCTTCATTTAGGCTTTCCATTTCAAAAGATCTCCGAAGTGATACTTTCTTCGTGGACCCTTTTGGAGGTCTCTCCCATGCGCTCGGCCTCACAATTTCAGGTGAGCTGGGCCAGGAGCGCTCCACCTAAGGTCACGGGACACATGGTTGGCAAAACCCGACTTGACGACATGGCTGTGGGTCAAAAATATGTACCCAACATGGAACGCTGGTAAGTGGAAACATGGACCAAAACCTGCAGTCCGTTGGTGGCTTCATCTTGACCACCTTGACCCATACCCACATGACGCCGCGGCTCCAAAGTCTCCGAAGACTCGGTTCCGGTTTTTGACGCAGCCAGTGGTCTTGCGCTTGCTCATTCGCATGCCTCTAGCCTGCGCATCATTTGCTGCCATGCGCGTTTGCGCGCTTATGTGGCAGCACCTTGCCCAGCACCGAAGGCTAATGGTTGCGCTTGCAAGGCAGAAACCCCATGGTTGCGCTGAGCGGGACGACCCTGCTCTGTTCGGCTTACAGATTCGCACAAAGCGAATCTGGGCCACATTTACGATCGCAGCCAACAAGCCACCGAGAAAGCATATTCTCATCCTAAAGTATTTATAAATACAGGTCTCGTGGCGGTGCCCCGTGGCGATGCTATGATCCGATGCGCTCTACGCGAGCGGGAAAATCTCTCGGCTCGCAATGGAGCTGGAGTGTTCGAGCTTGGATATTCTCACACTGCTTGCCTCTGCCTCTCTGCTCCCGAGGTATCACCAAGCTCCCCCATTAAGCGGCCACAGGTGCCTTTCGGCAGCTATGACAGTGTGTTTCGCACAGGCATGGCCTGAGAACTTGTCCAAAGTACAGGGCCCAAGGCTCTTCTTGGAAGAGCATCAGGCCAAGTGGTCGATTCCAGTGCCAAATGAGGCAGTTCGGCACGCAAACGCCAGGGGCGAATTTGGGACAGGTGCGAATAACCCGTGCAACTATGGTCTTGGAGCCAAAGTGCTCGGACCGAATACCGGTTTCCTATCAACCACAGCGTGCCCGAGCACGCGGGGCTTTCACTTCTCGCGGTGCAAAGTGCATGCGCAGCCTCGAGACATCTCGGGACTCCCAGACAACATGATTGAACAAACACATGTGGCTATGTCGCCACATGGCCATGGGTCAAAATCCCGTACCCCCAGTGAACATCCCAATCACTAAAACAGACTAAAATGGGAAAATGGGTGGTGAATTCACCTACCCCAAGAAAAGGCACTATTGGTTTTGACAACCACAGCCATCTCCCCCAATTCCCAGTTGCTGGACCCGTGCCACGCAGCGTCCCTATCAGATTTGGATGCCCTGCACAAGATTCCAGGAGTATGGCAGGGCTGTTTCTCTGGGGCCTGGCAATTCCAGGGCAATCTGTCCCGCAAGTTCTCAAACCCAGTTCAACAGCGTCCCGTGCCAAGCGTCGAATCAGAAGGAGCGCCAAAAGCCAATGAGTCCTGCAAATCATTCGGCAAACTGGTATGCATCTCAACTCTTTCCGCCTGGGAGATGGAGAGCAGGCATTTGTCTGAATGCCGCCTTGCAAGTCCACTCTCTCCGGCACTGTGCCACGCCCCTCTGCAACTCCAGCCTTGCAATATGCCCAGGAAAACTCCGTTGGTGATGTTGTCGGTGATGTTGTCAGTGATGTTGTCGGTGATGCTGCCGAAGAAGTCCTGAGCGTTACCCAGTAGCCCATCTGGATATCAAACATGAAAACAAAATGCTGGCTTGGTCACATTCCACAACACAAACACAGCCCTTTCACTGCCAAGCAACAGTGGTGGTGCTTGTTGTCTGAGATGTGGTGAGTGACAAGGTGCTTGTGCCTGAACTGAAGGTCCGTGTACTGGATGTCCCTGTACTGGAGGTCTCTGTGCTGGAGGTCTGTGTGCTGGAGGTCTGCGTGTTGGAGGTGAGGCTGCTTGTGCTTGAAGTCACTGTCAGCGAGATCGAGGAGCTCGTAGTCGTCAGAGTTGTTGCAGTCGTTGTGACCGTAGTAGCGGTGCTGGAGGTTGCAGTCTCGGTCGTTGCAGTCCCAGTGGAGGTAGTCGCAGTGGAGGAGGTGGCAGTCACCTCAGGCTCAGCACTCCAAAAAGCATCCGAGAATCACACACTGGCTGCCAGAAAAACAGCAGAGATGGAGCCGCGCCCTTTGGACGAGGCTCTGTAGATTGGGTCGCAGTCGACGAGGTCGCAGTGGATGAGGTTGCAGTGGATGAGGTTGAAGTGGATGTGATCGTAGTACTTGTCGTGAAAGTGAATGAGCTTGTCGTCGAAGTGGTGACAGTAACTGTGCTTGAGGTGGATGAGGTTGTGGTGGAGGAAGTACTGCAGGGCGGTGATACCATGTGAAAAATAAGCAGAGGGGTTCTGGGATTTTTGGCCACTGCAAGATCTTACGGAGGAAAGAGTAGAAGCCGGGTATCCATGCTGCATCTGTGTTTCTGCAAGTGTCCAGGTGCTGAACCAGCAACTCTTCCAAAGTGCCGATTGGGCTGGAGTGCCAGTGCAAGGTTTGGCTTGCAGTGTGTCTGGATGTTGATTGGTTCCGTATGCAACTTTCACAACATCCTTTCCCGGTCCAATCGCACGGTGAGTGCGCCGTGCATTGCCAAGCCTTAGAGAGTAAAGTGTCCGAGCTGAAGTGAACATGCAAAGGCAACTGGGCAGGAGTTGCATGTCAGGCGCCTGTCTGGTCTTCGTTCTAGGTCAAAGGAGTTAAGTATTTTCCCATGCCAAGCCTGCTTCTGTGTAGCACTGCATCAGCTGATAAACACTTGGACATCCTGTATAACAAGTGCAAGTTGTGTAGCACTTGCGACTGCTTTCGGATGTCCGGTCGGCGCAAAGTAGAACAAAGCCGGGATGTGAGAAATGGCCATGGGTCAAAAGCCCGTACCCCCAGTGAACATCCCAACCCCACTAAAATAGGTTCTAAACTGGGTGGTGCACCTACCCCAAAATGAGAAATACCCCAACACCGAAGATACGCTCTGCCCGCTTTTCGTCGCCCATGGCCTGGTCGTGGAGCTGGACGTACTGCTGGTCGTGAATGTGGTTTGGGTGGACCTCGAGAGCAGTGCAAGCCCTGCACTCGCAAAGTTTCAAGGGCTTCCAGTGCTTCCAGTGACGGGCTTTGGGTTCCGAGTTTTCCACCGCCTCGAACAAAAGGCTCATTGACAGCGAGGTATGGCTAGCAAAAGTACGGCATATTTGCAGCATGTCGCACGTGCAAACATATCAGTGATTGACCATCAGCACACTTGACTCCTGACAGCCTGCAAAACACACCCAATCCCGAGAGCTCGGCGTCGTCGATGTGGTGGTTGTGGATGTGGTGCTTGTGGATGTGGTGGTTGTGGATGTGGTAGTTGTGGATGTGGTGGTTGTGGATGTAGTGGAGGTGGTAGTGCGGCTGGCAAGAAGCACAAACCGGGATGCAAAAACTATTGCTGACCAAACCTCTTGCACTGCCTGGTCGTCGTGGAGGTTGTCGTCGTGGAGGTTGTCGTGCTTGTCCCAGAAGTGCTTGAGGTTGTTGAGCTCGAGGTAAGCCTCAAGCTCATGCTAAGTGTCCCCACACATTGAGCTGGGATAAAAAGGGCAACATTGTGGCTATCAAGCTGTGCACCGGCATGCAAACGCCTCGCAACTTCGCAACTGGCGCTTGTTTCTGGGCGCGTGGCGTGGCCGAAGTAGAGGAGGTCGTGGAAGAACTGGGCGAGACATGCTGCCTTCTGAGAGGTTGCTCGCTATCCCGGGTGCTGGCCTCGTGCTGGTAGTAGTGGAGCTTCTAGTGGCGGATGATGTGGTGGTAGAACTGAGTCAAGCGTTTGGAGCGGCGCTGAACGGAGCTGGAAATATTCACCCCGACAATTTGTGGTCCAAACCATCCCTTTGCACAAACAAACACTTTGATCTCTCCTGCATGTTCCCTTCCATACTCGTAAGCGAGGGAAGTGGGCTCTGTTGCGTTGCCATGCCTTCATTGATGCCATTCCTTTCTCGTCTCGCCAAACCATCACGCACCACGAACACCGCCAACAGGTCCAAATGTCCCATGGATACATGCTGAATACACGGGAACACCAGGGAAGACTGCGGGCACGGGAACACTAAAAATCTCTCTGCACGGGCAGACTCTGGGCATGGGGGAAGACTATGGTACTTTGAGACGTGGAAACACCATGAAATCGCTATGAAATCGCTATGACATCGCTTGAAGCTATCGGAACACTACTGAGCTCAGTTGAGACAGGCTGGAGTCCGTCAGTCTGCAAGCCACGGAATGTGGTCTCGGTCGCGTAGCCGTGTCAAGCACCGCCAAAGACTGTGCGAAGATGTCTCCAGACGTGTGGGAGCAAGCCTACTGAGTATGGATTACACAGATGCGTCGCGGCGCTTCACGTTGTAACTGCGCGCCTTTGCAAGCTTGCTATTGACGACACAATTCTAGACTCGTGACAACCGATTCTGCTGTGCCTCTGGCAGCTGTTCAAAGATGTTCAAAGATGCACGCTTCCTTCTGCCATGACTTTCTGACTGGCGGTTGCACGACCAACACATGGACTCCAGGGCTCAGAGGCTCAGAGGCTCAGAACCTGGGTGCCCCTGCGAGGCAGTGGCGGTCGTTGTGCTCGTGCTTGAGCTACTTGTGGTGGAGATGGATGTGGTGAAGGTGGTGCTAGTGGTCACTGTGCTGGTGATGCTGGTGCTGCTGGTGCTGGTCGAAGTGCTGCTGGTGGAAGTGCTGCTGCTAGAGGAGGAGGTCACCTCACGGTGTCACCGCTCCACTGCGCATAGCACACACGCCGGGCTCCGCACGGAGGTGGTGGTCTGTGTGGTCCTCGGTGTGACCAAAAAGCAGATCACCATGTGACAGCCACAAAGACCGAGATAAAGAAACAAGTTTGTGCATTCGTCTTGCCGAAGAAATCTGCTTTGCTGGCTTGCTTTCTTGCCTAAGCTCTGAAAAACCTTGTTTTGGGCAACACTTAGCCAGCTACATCGCCTCACTCTGGAATTCAGGTTGCCTGGGGCTGTCAGATGCAAGTTACGCACTTGCCTGTGTCCAGAAACAAGTCCACATCTCCAACTTCCAGGCTCCACCCTTTGCACACACGCGTCGTCTATCATGCGGCTACTTGAGTTCTCCACTGGAGGGATTGAGCCGGGAGTGCAACTCTATCACGTCAGGTGGAAGATGCTCCAATGGAAACTCCAAGGCTCAAAGAAGCCCCCAGGTGCAAAAAGGCAAACCAAATGGAGCAAAGGGCAGAACAGTCAAGCACCTGGCGAACACAACACCATCCTTCCATGATCGTTTCAGCGAACTGGCGTGGGAAGCAAGGGACAATGTGTTTAGCCATGCTGTCCAGAAAAGCCTGGCACTGCGAGGACCTCCAAAATGTCTTGCGGTATGTGCAAAATCTGAGAGCGCCACGAAGATGAGGTCTGTGACGTAGATGACGTCGTAGTGGTGGTGGTTGGAATGGGAACTGCAAAAGAGAAGAGCATGTCCTCAGCTCGCCACGGAGAGCGCTTCGGCGCCAAGATCTGTCAGGGCCCTGGCCGACCTCAGGCCAGAGGAGTCCGCGCCACCGATGACGAAGACTTGGTCCTGTTCCACACGAAACTGAAAGCCGCAAAGTGCAAAACCCGGCGGTTGACGCTCCCAAAACGAAAAAAATGGTTCATTGAGCCCCTTGGCAGCTGCTGAAATCATCCCTCCCTTCACAAGTTGCTCGTCTCGATTTGGACTCAGCTGAGACTGCTTCAAGCAGGCTGCGCTCCTCCACGGTGCCATCGTATGACACGCGAGGGAACCTTGGACAGGGGCGATGTGGTAGGATCCAATGCCCGGCCTTCCCTTTTGATCTAGTGAGTGTCGGGAGGCGCCATGCCGGACCGGCCGGGTGGTCGCTCATCCACGGAGTTTGACGGGCTGATGAGGGTCCAGGCGTTGTACAAGACCTTGCGAAACGGTGCTTCGTGCATCGCGCACGTCGTGTGCTTGTAGCACACAACAAATCACCCTTGCTGACTCAAGTGGACACAGCCCGTGCTGAGCAGGATGCGCTGTAGGCCTTGGGTTGTTGAAGGCACCCAAATCCGAGCTAACGGGGATTTTCTTAGCGACACTGGATTGCCCAAGCTCGGCACAAAGATGTCATTGTCATAGAAAATCCCGCTCAAATCTGCCTTCACCGCCAGACCACCTCAAGAGCCATGGCAGATGCAAAACCCCCCTTGGGTAAAGCAAAGTGGGATCACAGTCGGCATGCTAAGGCGGCTTCCAAAAAGGATGATCTGGTCTTCTGCTAAATATGGGATCTGAGAACAAGTGCTCTCAGCCATATTCGCCACAGCGCCAAAGGTCAGTCGCCAAGCTGAGTGCAGTGCCAATGCGAGACCGTGCCCATATCTGCCAGTGGGGATGTCCCCAGAGGGAGACTTCTCCGACCACGTTCCTGCTGAAATACGTTCCAGATCTCGTTTGAAAACAAAACCACCGGCCTCCTGAGATGTCATAGGCCCACACATCGCTCAAGTAGCCGTAGGTGCCAACATTCGAGGCACCAAAACCTCCAATGAGATATAGGAAGTCCTCAGCCAAGGCCCCAGTCCCTCATGGAACGAAATACCGCATCCCGCATCCCGCCCAAAAAAAAAACGTAAGGCCTCGCGTGCTTTGCAGCACACATGGGATGTTGCCGTCCGCACCCACGAAAAAAAGCTGGCCCCAGAATGCAAGCGGGCATCTCCATCTGATGCCTGGACGAAGACTATGCCTCAGGCTGGAAAGATCGCTACACTCAACCAGTCCTCAGACCCCACACCCTGCGCCGAAAACCTGCCTCCAGACGTGCGCGCGTGGGGCAACGTGGCTAAACTGTGCTGCGTCCACGCGTTGCCTCAGCGAAACACTACAAAACTGAGTGCGCAACATTGGCATGTTCGCAGGATCCTCATTCCAGATCTGCCTAAACGTGAATGAACTGAAAGCCATGCAGCTGGCGATGCTATAGGAAAAGAAGTCATTGCCTCAGCTCAGCGGGCCCTTGGCAACCCCCCGAGCTCACGAGGTGAGAACGCCTCTCTGAGACTCTGCCGTGGCGCTGACAGATGGGCTGGCAAGATCATAGCTCGTCCAGCCGCCAAACGCGAAGAGCCGCGCAGATCCGCCCGAGTCGGCATAGACCAGGTGCGGCCAGGCCTGACACGGGAACAAGCAAACAGACTCTTGGTTTGTCTGGGATGCAAACAAACACTTCAGCAGGAAAAATAAATAGCGCAATCTTGCGGTCTCTCTTGAGAACCATTTCGCAGAGTCAAGTCTCGCAATGGCCGCCCCACCTTTTCTTGTGGGCCTGTGCCGGATGGAGCTCCTGCTCCTTCCCCATTGGAAAGGTTGTAGAATGTATTTGAAGGGATATCATAAAAGTGCCTCAGATATGAAAGCCGAATTCTGAAGCTCACATGTCGATTGTTCTGACGCTTCTGTGCAAATCAGACACAAATCATGCATCATTCCGTAGGTCGTGATGCCGCCGAAGATCCAGATGCCATCCTCGACAAAGCAATGAATCATGCTGTCACGGATTCAAACACGGAATGCTCAATCGGAGTCACAGAGTTATCGTGGGCCATTCCGAAGGCATGCCTCCGCAAGTCCGGGGAAAAGTCTCTCATTGGCAAGACATGAGTTCTGCCTGTTCGTAGGTCTATTGGCCGGGGTAATGTCGGTCCATGTATTTGCGCTCACCTGCGACACGCAGAAAGCAGCTATGAGGGCAAGAGAAAGCTGCGCGGCTTGCTGAGGCAGTCACATCATACTCAAGCAGGTCCCCATGGTTGCCGTCCGTCGAGAATGAGTCTGGTCGGCAAAAGCGAAAGGTACACTCATGACAACCCGTGATTTCAGCATCTTGCAAATGGCCTGAGCCACCGCCGGCAAACGTGTAGATCTTCGATCTGGTTGCCCTGGCAAGGCAAGAAACATGTGTCCAAGTCAGTTCATCTGCTTGGGTGACCGCCGGGTCGAGGTCTTGGACCCTGGCGAATAGATCGCGCCCGCCCATTGCCGGGCCGACGGAGCATCTCCCACATCCGTAAACCGCCTGACGGAGGTCACTTCGATTCTCCGACTGGAGCGCGAGTGTCGTGCCTCCAGACGGCATCATTTGCCAAAGCGGTCCACCTGAGCTGACGGCCTCACATTCAACCCAATGCTGCTGGCTCAGAGACTGACAGCAGCAAATGCAGGCACCATTGCGCCCGCATCACTCGCCGTAGCAACACTATCAGGAGGCGGCTTTGCCTTTGGAAAACCAAAAACAACTGCTTGTGCATGTGGGCCATACCTGCTAAAATAATGTATAAAAGCATCGTAGTGACAAACGCCCGAGTTGTGCTGGGTTTGGCATCGCAGCGGGCAAGCGCCGCCTCACCCCATGTAACCTTGAGCCAACCAGGCATGCCAGCGCGTCAGTTAAGAAGTACCTCTGGCACTAGCGACTCGAAAAGACAAAAGGCCTGCCTCACTGCAAAACGCCCAGGCCCCAGGCGAGCCATTGCTTGGTCAACGGACTGACCTCAACACCTCAGATTGGTAATTAGCGGGGACTGCGGGCCAAATATTCTAGAATATCTGGAAGAATTCTGTGCCTTTGAATGTGGCCGCTAGAAAATCTGACTCTGATACTGAGCTCAGCTCCAGCCAATTTCTTGAAGCCTGGCTTCATGTCAAGTTTGTTGAAACAGAGATGCTCCCAAATCCGCAGGGTCGACTCGTTTTGCCAACCAAACCCCGCCCGTTACGTTTGGGGCCAACGCGGGTCTAATTGCTGGAGCCAGCGTGCAAAAGGCCTTGGTGCTTTGCCATGGGTGAATGATGTGTTCTCCTAGAGTTCGTTTGTTGGTTGGTTGAGTGCAACCCAGCATCTCAACAAATTTGTTGTTGAAGCTTGAGGCACAAGGATGCACAGCCAATATTGAGAACGTTGGTGTTCCAACTCGCAACATGTAGGCAAAAAGACAACTCCTGTGCTTGCCCTCCTGCGTGAAAGTGGAGCACAAAGCAAAGACAAGTACTGCGTGCGGGCTTTGCCGGGAGGCAAACGCTCGTCCAAGGTCGCTATTGCCCTTGAGTTGTGAGATGATGCAAAACACATTATGGCACAAGAAAGTCGGGCCTCAATGAACAGTCGCTACGCAGTGCACGATTGAACAACCCCCATGGAAAGCGAATACACGTACTCGGCAGCACGAACTGCAACAAGCACTCTCTCAGTTAACAAAAATGGTGATTGCTAATTTGCAGCACGGGTACACTGTGACCTGCTTGATACTTTTCAAAGGCCTAGGGTCAAGATTTCAGGCCGGGCAACGAGAAAACACCAGCTCGGGCAACACTTCACTTACGACATTCGGAGAGAAGACATAGGACTGTGCAAAGAGCTGCGAAACTATGTCGAGCTGCGCCTTCGACCAACTCCCCCAAAGAGATCTCGCCCGGCTCACGCAGCCTAAGGATTTGCAGTCGGCACAGCAAAGGCAGAAAGCTCAGGCCAGCGCACGTAGGCAGGGTTGGGCACTGCAACCAAAAGCCTAGCAAGGAGCGGATGGGTCTCCGGCTGTCTCCGTAAAAAGAATCAGTTCTCGCTCTCTCTCTGCGGCTCGCTGCTCAGGCGGCGGCTGCCCATCCTCGTCCACGCCAACCCCATCCAGCGGGAAGCTGAGCTGGGCCATCTCCTTGGAGTCCACGGGCGGCCCCAGGCGCACCCTTTGCCCATCACCGGAAGCAGAAGAGCACCCCGGCGGCAGAGGCTGGGCCCAGACGCCGAACTTTTGGAAGGTCTGGCCGTTGCGGCTGTTCCGCGTCTCCAGCGGCTCCACCCACTTCTGCCGCAGCGCCGCGAAGAGCTGCTCCCAGCGCGCCAGCTGCTGCCGCACCTCCTCCGGGGCGTCTGCGAGGTCCAGCACCGCTGGCCTGGCCAAGCACAGAAGTGGAAGGTGGAAAGAAGAAGAAGTCTGGCCCAAGAAAAAGCAGGTTGGAAAGCAATGGAAACAAGAAAAAGCCGCGGTCGTCGAAGTTTCCGCGGTCTTCGAGGCGCTTCTGGCCTGACGCCGAGGCAGGTCCAGTGGCTGTCGAGGACCCGGTGTTTCAGGTTGAGGTCCCCGGCCAGCAGCACCGCCTTGCCCTTGGACCGCTCCCGCCACATGGCGTGGCGCAGGGCCCGCAGCCACCGGAGCTTGTAGGGCAGCCGGCCCCCCGCGCTGTTGGGCACCTTACAACAGACTCTGACACGGAGACTCCGAGAGACGATCCAAAGAACGACCCGTGGATGAAAAAAGGAAAAAGAGAACCGCCGGAACTGCCGGACACACCTTGAGATTTGAGCGGAAGGCACGTAGACGTTGAAGACCACAAAGGCGCCGTGATCCGTCAGCAGGCACCTGCCCTCTCCGTCCAGCTCTTCGCAGCCCAGCGGCGCATTGTCCGCGTGGAGCACCAGGCCCGCGCGCGCGAAGGTGCAGACCCCGTTCAGGCCCTGGCGCTGGCTGCCCAGCCCGTCGTTGCAGCACCAGAAGCTCTCGAAGCCCTCCACGTCGAACTGCCGGCCTCCTCCGGCCGACAGCGCCTGAGTCACAATCACCCGGTATTCAAATGGTCGTCCCAGAACCATGCTTCAAGAATTCAGAAGGAGGTCCGCAACTTCTGGATTTCTGGCTGCTTAAGTACTAACCGAGTCATCGATCCCCGGATTTTTGCGCGCTCGCCTTGGAGCTCAGCTTCACCTCCTGGAGGCACAGCACGTCCGCGCGGTGCCGTTTCAGGAAGCCCGCGAAGCCGAAGCGCCGCAGCTGCTCCAGCGTGGTCTTCAGCCCGGCCACGTTCCAGCTGATGAGGTGCAAGTCACACAAGTCATCCATCACGTGCCATTCGGAATCCGGGTAGACGTGTTGCCAAGTAACACAGGCGCACTCAGTCAACCCAAAGAGATGGGCACAGCCCGAGCTCTCAAACCGCGGTTTCAGATTTGACAGAAAGGGCCTTCGTGAACTCAAGACATCGCAGGAACCGGGCCTGCTTGGCTGAATCCTGTCCTATTCGCTTGACGTGCTTGCGTTTGTAGATGCTCTGAGAAATGCTCATGGTCAGATACCGCCTTGAGAGAAAACCATACTCGCTGCTGAGGAACTTGTGTGGCAAAGGGAAAGGTGAACACACAATCATGATGTTTGTTTCGGTGCCATCTATTGCCTTTTTGGTCTTTTCGCGATTGCCTTCTCGGTTTGGTCGCGGCAGTGGCATTTGGGCGCCCTTGACATCCGCATGTGTGGATCTACAAACATGCCCGCCTGCTCCTGGATGCTTGAGGCATTTGGACAAGAAGTAATTAAGACCCTCAAGTTGCCGTCGTGTTTGTGCAGTGTATGTGTGTGTGTGTGTGTGCGCGCGGGGCTTTGGCGCTTGTTTCTTCTTCTTTTTCCGGCTCTTTCAGTAGCGTCCTTTGCAAATGCCATTCGAAGCATCGACTATTGACGCCGAGCATGATCACATTGTATTGTTAGCACGCTCCACCTGTTACCTGCCGCAGGCTTGGCCGATTCTTGCGTAGCACGTCGTCCTGTATTGAGGCGATTTTCTCTCCGCGAAACGAGCTGTTAAGCGACTCGCCCATTTGGCCAGCCGAAGCTAACGGTGCCCCGTTCAGCACCACTGCGCCGAAACACGCAAGCATTAACAGGAGAGCTGAATCACATGGCAGCTAGCCTGAGCTTCAGTGCAATCTGAGCTGGTGAAGATATGCATTCTTGACGCAAGGGTCACAACTCCCACACCCCGTTTCAACTCCCTCTATGTGCAGGACTCCAAATCCAGGTCAACATCCTGCCATCACAGCTTTCACGGATGCTGCACCAGCCTGGTACGAACCCCACTGCAATGGCCTCCATCAGCAAGGACTCATCTTGGCCGAAACCTGAACCCATTTTGCAAACAGCGAGGCCCTCACCCAAACGGCGACGTCAGACATGTCCGGGGTGAGAGCTTAAAGAAGCGCCTTGGGAGCATTGAGGAGCTTCCTGGGCAAGCAGAAGGCGTCCTGACGGAAAAATCGAGGCGCTGTCAATGATGCATTCCAGGATCCGGCGAGATTAGGTAAATGAAGGTAGGACAGCCCTTTGAAGACATGCAGCAATCAGCCTTGACTCGGCCTTGAGAGCCAATAGCCCCGTCCTCTTTCTCTGGCAAATGATGTGTCTGCCTCATCCAGGATCTGGAGAAGCAGATCCTGAAAAGCAAATCCCTTCGAGCTCAGAAGTCAAAGTTGCTCGGACCTGAAGGCTTCGGTAGCTTTTTAAGAGACTCTCTCCTGGCACAAAATGTTCTGAAGTCAGCCACGTTGAGTCAGAGCTTCGAGCCACAAGGAGCCACAAGGAGCACAACGCCACGTGCCTAGTCCGGCATCTAGCTGCGCCTCACCTGGCTGCGCCGATGACATCAGCGATTGCGGAGGAGCGAGGCGCAGGCGCCGCGCCTGCAGCGCCTTCCACGAGCTGACGCAGATCCTCCACCTCAGCGTCGCACCGCCGTCGCACCGACGTCGAAGCGTCGCACGGCAGAGCTGTGGAAGGCGCCTGCGGCTTGAGATCCACCCAGGCGAAGCGGTCCAGCCTCTGCACGGCGTCGTGCAGCAGCTCCAGCGCCAGGTCTGCGCTCCCCGTCCGGATCCTGCAACAAACTTCCAACCCATATTTGGGGTGTGGGTCGAAAATGGGCACTTCAAATGCAACCCAGGTTCATGGAAACCAAGACTGAAGCCTGCGGTCTGATGGTGGATTCCTGTTTGACCATACCCAACATGCGCCAAATGAGTTGCCCAAACGAGTTACCCAAGTACACCTGAGTTCCGCGAAGCGCCGAAGCGCTTAGGCCAAGGCACAGCGCAGCCAAGGCCACCAGCAGCACCTCCCGATGGCCAGCGCCCAACGTCTCACTGGGAGGACACCAATCCTCGGGCGGCCGTCGGAAAGCGTCGGAAAGCGGAAAGCGCGCGAAGGCGCGCGCGAAGTCGCGCGGGGCAGCTTGGCCCAGGGCGTTCCACAGCGCATGCACCTTGTCGCTGTGCTGCTCCCTGGCGCAGGCCTGACCCACTCACTCGGCACTACGCACGCGGCACGGCGGCACTCACTCAACGCCACTCAATAGCATCATCGCAGCCCTGGCAATTTGCATCATGTTGTCATTTTTTGTGCCTCTCACAAATGATGAATATGGAACGTTCGTCTGATTTCATCCGTCGCGTTTCATCTGATCTTTCTTCGTCCCCGACTCGCCTCCATGAGCACGATGACGAGTCGGGCAGAGACGCGCTGGCCGGAACCTCGGATCTGGACCCGGGATCCTAGCCAACTCAGGCCACCCCGGCCGCCTTGCGGCCCCCTCAACCATCTGGAACACAAGCGAAAGCTACGTCAGCTAGGCGCGTGGCTTTTCAAGGTTTCGTAGAGCCTTGAAAAAACTTGCCTCTTGGACCAACAATTCACTGGCATTTGGCCCCGAGCTGAATGCCGAGGCCGAGCTGATGAGTTCTCATGCAGCACCTTGCACCAATCCAACGGAGAACCGTGCCTGCGGCATTGAACGCTTGGGGCAACGGCTCAATGATGAGCTTGTAGACCTGAAGAGGATACAGTGAACACACCCACAAAGACGCATTTCACGGCAATTTGCTTACACCCCTTTGCACACACTGAGACCAGCCACCCCTTCATAAAGCGGCTGGTGCATCTTCCTTAGCCTGCAGAAGTCGTTTGTCCCAGTGCAAGACAAATGCAGCTCGAACCTGTCGTAGAGAGCAAACGCCCGACGTACATCATCCATTTGACAGGCCTTGGAAAGACAAGCTCACCTTTGAGTCGAGTATTCCTCAGCCCGGCTTCAATCAATCTGTTGATGATGCCATCGGAATGATCGCCTGTGACCGCGCGTGCGAGAAGCAAACCAAGTCTCGGGAATCTCATGGCCTCTGGCAAAGGCGTCGTCGTCACTGGGAGATCCGTACCTCACGTGTGTGAAAGGCCCTAAGACAAGGTAAGTCATAACTACGCAAAGAGCATCCGATTGGAGTATCAGCTCACAAAAAAGTCGACATTCAGTAAGAAGGGGCACGATCTTGTCGCACATTCTACTGTCGGGGTGTCCTTGCACCCACTGTGCTCCGTGCTGTCCCGCGGTCCCTGTGCTTGTGACTGCGGCGGCGTGTCCTCTTCACCCCAGGCCAGCATCTTGGTCGGGGTTGGGCTGCGGGGCCGCCTGGGGCCGTGGGATCGAACAGCATCGTGCGTCCAGACGCAACTTGATCCGAGGCACACCCAGTGCGAGCGGGGAGAAACTTGAAGAGACTGCACGGCAGAAGAAAAGATGCAACGTGTGTCTCGGCTTTGAGTTCGCCCAAAGTTCTGGAAAAGGCAAACCTGCCTCTCTGGCTGGCTCTTTGTCCGAGTGCTCCATGCCCTGCACACACCATCCCGAAAGCTTCATGTTCATCTGAAACCAGAAGAAACTTCGAACGACTCGCTTCAAAGCCAAGGCAACCTTGAAAAGCTCAACTCACTGCAATCACACGCGGAAAGCATCACACCTGCAGCCAATGATTGGTCTGCTCGGGCGTTGGCGCCGGTGGCCTCGAATCCCGGCGCGGCATTTCCCAGGAAAAAACGCGCTGCGCCCCGCGCCTCTCGAGCTGGTCCGGTGGGGGTGACAGAGCCGGAGAGATCGGCTCGGCCTTGAGCCCAAATCGTGCTTTCTCTTTCGGCGAGTCACCCGAGCCTCGCATCCGTCAGCACTGCATGCTGTGGCCTTGGGCAAGGACTCCGGTGCGAAAATCAGCGGGTCCAGACCTAATCCTTCGGGCCCCAGCTACACTGCTGGCCGCCGACTGCCTGCACATCTCCATGGCCTGCAACCCAAAATGTGAAGATCGGCAGTGCAGGCGCGCGCAAGCCTCCTGAATCAGCGTTGAAGGTATACACGCCTCGGCTTCAAAAGGGACTTGTCACCCGCTTTGCTCAGTATCCCGCACGAAGTGCTTGCATGTTTGACTTGCAAAGATCAAAAGGCATGTAGTTGAATGCAAAGTGCCCTCATTGCATGATATGGCTTTGTGTCAGCTAAACAAAACTACTGCCACGAAGTCTGAGCACGTCACCATGTTCGGCTGTGCTCGGGTGCCAGAAGAGGCTGGCCTCAGCGCAACGTTCGTTGCCGTCTTCCTTCACTTTCACAAGATCCAAAGAAATAGTGGCACGCACTTCTGTGCCAGAGGTCGGAACCGTTGCCGGAAGCCATGATCTGGTGCATCCTGACAGCGGCCGAGATCAGTGCCTTGGGACATGCTTCAGGGCGCCTTTCGGGCTGTCGGGGCCACCGGTCGCTCCTTGCGAAAAGCCCACGGACAGATTTCTCGCCAACGCAATCGCCACACACGCCTCGTTTCCAGTGCGATGCCCCAGGAGACGGCCTCTGGGATACTCGGTCGATCGGCTGCACGGCGTCGCCATGCTGCCAGGGCGCTTTCCAGCTGATTCATGCGCACGCCAACCTCATCCCAGAGGAGTGGACGGACGAATCGTATGAATCATTCAAGTCGCTTGGGCCCCTGCGCTTCCGGACGAGGGCCTTGCATTTCCAGGCCTGCAGCTGACAGGATTCGCCGAGAGCTGCAGACCCCGACAGAGATTCGCCTTCCAGCTGAGCTTATCCTCTTTCGTCGGACCTAGCCGCTCGCCGTGCCCTCGGCCCTTTTAGTTTCGCAAAATGCAATTCGTCCCCTTTGCAACTTTGGTTTCTTGCCCTCTGGACAATACGCAACGACCGGCACCGGCGTAGGTCCCAAATAGCCAAGCTCCAATGGACTAGCTTCTTG